TGTTTTGTAGCAACCTGGAGTGTTTCTATTCTATTAAATTGTTTTTTTGCCTTAGAAGGTATATCTTTGAAGCTTCTCACTTATATAACAGTGAACTTATTGGCTCTAGCTACAGCCCAAAGGTGCCACATTAAGAGCTTTTAGTATTAATCGCTTTCTAGATTATGGCAATGCTATAAGGTGAGGAGGTGAAAGTTTGGAAAAACATCTAAAGTATCGTTTGGTAGCTCGATAAATGGGCTATTGTATGAAACATTTCCTGTCTGATTCCTGAAAGCCGGTTCAGTGCTGCTTGCAGGTCTAGTTATTATTATTATTTTTCCATTTGAGTATATCTCAGAAACTACTAGTCGGATCTATTCGATGTCTTCGGTTTTACTGGGAAAGTGGGTTTGACTTAAATTTCTAACGTTCTGCGACTATGCGAAATGTCCGAAATCACCGAAGTTGTCGTTTTTCAAAATTTTGCCGTAATGTTATCAATAATTGTCGGATTGTAATATTTGATACATTTTGACATAGCCGGAGACAAGGCACATAGCTACAGTTCTTTAGATTTTTTATTTTCGACGAATCTTCGGAGATATTAGGCGCCAAATTTTGAAAATTTAAATTTTTACGAAAAACTTTTTTATTAATGATTATTTTTATGTGGTATTTTACCCAGGGTTCAAGAGTCATCTGATTTGACCAATTTTTATTAATGAATATTTTTATGTGGTATTTTACCCAGGGTTCAAGAGTCATCTGATTTGACCAAAAATGGCAACATTTTTTGTCACCGTATATTTCCTTGGCCCCCATTGGCTAATTTAGTTTTTCAGTCCTGGATTAATTATTTATTGTTCGATCTGTATAAAACAAAGTTCATATGCTCCGTGCTCCAAAATGTCATTTTTTTTCTTACCAGTAAAGTTGCCTTTCGGCAACGGAAGTGACGTAAATTTAGTAAAAACTGCAATTTTGACAGTTCGGTACCACTTTTTGAAAGCAAATATTATTTTTTTCAAATCTGGTATGACTGAAATGGTGTGCCCTGTTAAGGCGCAGAAATCATCGCACTCAGTTTTTTTAATTTTTATTTCGTTTTCGGATCATTTCGATTTAAAGGTGAAAAAAGGTGAAAAAATGAGCTATTCACAACCCATTCAGGCTTTTCAAATTTTAAAATATTTCTTCACAACTTTCATAAACTAGTAGCAATCATCCATACAAAGAGAATGTATGTGAAAATTAGTTTGTAATATGAGCAGTTGCCGAGAAATGGGCAATTTTGCATGAGTCACTTTTTACGCTAGTTTGGCTGTAAAAGAATCAATTTTTATTCGATTTTCATGAAAGTGACACCATTTGATGCGTAAGGTCAATTTTAACTAGGTCAAACCAATTTAACATTTTCAATGTCACCGGAAATGACGTAATTTGGGCAAAAATTGTATTTATAGCCTTCAAAACCAGTAATTTATTCAAATGAGTTGTATTTGTTATTTGTTTAAAAATTTTATATTTGATTCCAATCAACTAATAGAATGAACCCATACGATCATATAGATATCACAAAATAGTTTCTAACTTGTTCAGTTGCGGAGATATAGACGATTTTCAACAGGTAACTTTTCAAGGTTTTTGGTCCATAAAAGTGTCAATTATTATTCGATTTCATACAAGTAATTTAACACTTTTACTGTCACCGGAAGTAACGTCATTTTGGAAAAAACTGTATTTTTAGCCTTCAAAACAGATATTGTATTAAAATGAGTCTGATTTGTATTATTTTTAAAATTATGATATTTGATTCCAAGCAACAAATAGATTGAACCCACACGATCATACAGATACCAAAAACTGGTTTCTAACTTGTACGGTTTGTACGGTTGCAGAGAAATAGACGATTTTCTACAAGTCACTTTTCAAGGTTTTTGGTCTATAAAAGTGGCAATTATTATTCGATTTACATAAAATTTTCACCATGTGATGCCTTATACTATGTCTGATTTCATAAAACTAATTTAACATTTTCGTTATCACCGGAAATAATGTAATTTGTCAGGATCACTAACATGTAACAAATGTATACAATGAATTGATATTGCTGGATTTGGTTGATTCTGCGTACATTTTATTTGATGTGTGGAATGCTTATATGGAAACCTGTTTAATGGTTTCATTGGCACCGGAAGTGACATATATTCAAGGGTAACGGGGCACCAGTGAAACCGGTCATTACTGCGTCGCAGTTCTAGTTATTATTATTATTACAGCATAATTATAGTGCACCCTTTCATATAACATGTTCAGGGGCACTTTACAAAGTGACAATGTAATCATAAATAAACAACAAGATTATGGACATGTTAATGATTGTATACAGAGTCAGTTAAAAGCCTGATTAAGTTGTTTTTTAAAAGAATATAGAGATGTACAACATCTTAAAAACTAAATGGTAGATTATTCCATAAAACAGGTGCTTGATAACTAAAAGAGCGCTGATCATAAGAGACTACTAAAAGTAGTTTATCTGATGTACGTAATGTTTGAAATGCTCTTATAATTAATGATAGCATTATAGCAAAGACAGCTAGAGACAAATTCTAGACGATCACAAGGCTACTAAGATATGTAGTAAGAAAAGATGCATGTGTCGTACGTAGGATGTGGTGTGGTCAGACGAAAGGCCCATGGTGCTAAATATGTGCAAATTTACTTAATTGATGCCTTGAGCCCAATAACAAATATTCGGTTTTATCATCATTCAATTTTAGAAAGTTCTTTGACATCCACTTTCTAATTTCACTAATACAGTTTTCAAGTTGCAATTAATGGGACGCTGCCCACTATTGCTACAGTATTTTAAAATGCTTTGAACGATGAATTGATATAAATAAATACATTCCTATCTGATATTTTAATGTAATTTTATTGACGATTAACATTTTATAAGGTTTTACTTCACAGTTAGTCAGTATTGTCTATGAGCAAGTTGTTGCCATGAAACTTTTGCCCATATTTCGAATAAGATAGGGTTCATTCTCCCAATGATTTCCATCGAAGTTGAAAAAGATATATTGTTAGAAAACTGGAGCCTTTATCACGTTCACAAAGTCTGAAAAGGAAGATAATTCTGGAATGGAAGGCCATTGAACGCTGAATATCAATAAAATTAGTCCTCTCATGACCCCAATGCTTCACACAAAATTTGAAATAATCTGTAACAGATTGTTTTGGAATGTTGAATATCAGCAGTGATGGTCCTCGGATTAACCCAACGCTTCACACCAAATTCAAAAAAAAAATATGATAAAGGAGCTAAATCGCTAATATTTTGGGCCTAGAAATTGGCACAAATGGGTTGCAACACATATAATAATGTAATATGAATTTATATAAACTGTTTTACATTCAATCGTTTCCGTTTTACTGTGAATTGTCATCAGTTATATTCGGCAAAATATGCCAGAAGTCTCAACCGAAAGACAGTTTCTAGCGTCTGGTTATTCCAGTCAACACCGATAGTATATATTGCGCATGCTCTCCAAATAAGAATATGGCATCACCGTTTGATATGACTTGTGGAATATGTCTAGCCTCATTCTTTGAGCACCTTGTTACAAATGGCGCTGAAACGCATTATGGTACACGATTCGTGTACCAATGGTCTTAAATATTGGATATCAGAAGACCATCTTTTCCAGGTAAGACCACAACACCAATGCCGATTTAAATTGAAAAAAATCGTGTTTTCAATGTTGAAGATTTTGGATGATATTGAGTTTCGGACTTAGCTACTTTAAAAACAATAGGCAATATTGTGTTAGCATAAGGTTTTTGGCAAGGGGGCAGGGCTTTAAGATAATCACTAACTTCGAATAGCAAGTCTAGATCCTGATTTACATTCAATAATCTTGAAATGAACAAGTACACAAATTGTTTAAGTGAACATGGTGATACGATAATTAATGTGGTGTTGTGTAAGGGATGCACCTTGATGAAGTTGTAGCTTGTAGGCAATTACACATAAATTATCATTATATTATTATATTCAATTCATACTTTACGTTTTAGAACAATGTCCTTTAATTGGTTAAGGTTAATTATATTATACCTGTATATTTCGATCATAATGGGGTTAGCAAGAGGTACGTCCTACTCGTTATACAGTAGACCTCCTTCAACATACACATGTAACAATTCTATGGAATTACTATTTATTATGAACTGTCGCTCAGTAATAAACACTAATTATATTCCATTCCATAGAATTGTTACCACTGAACACTGATAAGATTGTCACCTGTTGATATTAAGGTCATGTTTGCTCCGATTGAACTGTGACTTCTGTAATTCAATGGTGAAACACATATTGGCCTATTGTGCTGACAAGATTTAGCAACAAAGGGCTAACTCTGCCAAATATCCAAATTGTAGAAAAGAAAACCATTCTGAAAGAACATCAGAACAGGATGCTAACAAGCCAACAGTATAAGGCTGATGTCCCCCACCGAAATCACAAAATAAATAGATGACACATATTAATTAATCGCACATTTATTTTTTTTAAAAGTATCAAGCAATCAAACTGATTATTAACTATACACTAAGTTTCATCACTCTCTATCAGACAGAATGAAAGTTATCTTTGACCAATGAAATTGCTTAGCTCTGCTTAGCTTTAGCTTGAAATGTTAATCATTGAACTCAGTCAAGACATTCACCTAATGAACATCTACACCATGTTTAAACATTCTACCTCAATAAAAAGCAGAGTTGTTATGTTCCAAAGTCTTGACTAATCAAATAACCTAAGCTGAAAATTCTTATTATGGAACTTACTACACAAGCATAAAGTAGAAGATTGTACTCTATCATTGTGTTTTTGGTGGGAAATTAAAACAAAACAAAATAATAATAACAGAGTTATTACAATAAAAATTATGAAAACAACATCTGATTTCCTTCACTTTTTTTGGTAACAGTGTGAGATTAATTTAAGAAACACATACCATTTTTTTTATACATCATAATTTCTGTCTTTAGTTCTTTCTTATTCTCCAAGGCCTCTTCGATCTTCTCTTTTTCGGTTTCTTCGGTATCATTACCATAAAGAAATTTGCATGCACAGCTCTTGGCCATAACCTGAGAGCGAAAATGTCCTGTAAGTTCACAAAATCCATCTGAACAGTAAACAATTGGACCACCATTACCTTGTGCGTTGCCCAAAACAAAATTACTATCTGAAAAAAACGTGAAACCAAAAATGTATTTACGAAAGCTGTAAGTTCAACCCTTTGGAACAGTAAATCCATTATCTGTGTATTAAAGATATAGTTTCGTAGGAATATAAATTCCTACAAAATAAAACCTTTTGTAATTTCCTTGATTTAATCAAAGAGACACATGCATATTATAATATGAAATATGAAAAAAAAAGAAAATTGTAGAAACATTGAAAGTTGTAGGTCAAAAAAGTGATTTAAGCCGATCTTACTGATGGGCTAAAGCTATATCATTTTAACCATCTGAATAAACACCATCATGGCCACATATCTATTCATTTTGGATGTAAGAAAAACAAATGTGAAAATGTCTACACATGTATCTTCAGGGCCAAATAATTTTATCTTTCAATTAAAGTATTTTCAGGTTTCAGAGGCAAACTACTGTAGAGTAAGGTGTGATTTAACGTGATTGCCTCGAAAGAAAGAATATAACAGAAATAATGAGCCGCTGCCACGACACATACGCCCACCTCTGGTAATGGTAGCAGATAAAATACAGGTTGCCAGGCAACAACAGCTAGTTCTTTCAAGCAGATTTCTACAAACTAACTATGATGTTCTAAGTTAGCAAAAGATAGTTTAGCAAAATAGGGGGCAAAATGAGGTAACATAAATTTAAAGTTTCATCAAATTTTAATCAAAATTGTGAGCACTTGAGGGTCCACAACCTTGACATACCATACTTTTACATTATCTGCGTACAAGGACTGACCATAATTATCGCGTTATGGAGATATGTTCAAACAATTTTTTAAATCGGATAAAAATTTTGAGTTCTAGAGGGACCTTGGTATTGCCACTGTAGTCACAATACGATTCAGGGACTACGATACAATTCGTATCATGATTCATAACCAGGTCAATATTCACCAAGAAAACAACAGGATAAATGAATAATTGATATTTTTAGTCCTGCTGATGTTGAAGAAATAAAACTTTGTTATCACGATATTGATGTGGATCGAAATAAGGACCAAAACAATTTAACAGTGTTTGTGAACCTATGGATAATGTGGGACGGGGATAATTAAGAGTAACAGGTTACTTACTGAAGCCAGAAAAAAACATTGATTCAGCGTATCGCGAATCATGGGAAGGTGAATCGCAATACATCGATTCAACGATATATCCTGCCAGCACTAGAGGAACAACAAGCTAAAAACAAGATTTTTCGTACAATTAGGAGCCATAATTCCAGAAAGTTACAGTCTGATATGTGCCAATATTGAAAGGAACCGAGATCTTTGGGAGATAAACCTATATTTTAAGTTTCATCAAAATTGTGACCTGTAGAGTGTTCACAAACAAAATGTAAATGGACACACGGATGGACGGACGGATGGGGGCAGCATGATTTTTCGTACAATCAGCGGCCATAATCCAGGAAGTTACAGTCCGATATGCGCCAATATCGAAAGTAATCGAGATCTTAGGGATATAAACCTATATTTCTAGTTTTTTCAAAATCAGAAAAAATTGTGACCAGAAGAGTGTCCACAAACAAAATGTGGGCGTGTAATAATGTAGCCTCTATTGTGCTCTCAAGGTTTTCAGCACTCTGGAAACGAAAGTTATTTCTTTAATATAAGAAGGTTAGTAAACGATTAAAGCAGTTATTTTGTATTGACAACCATTCCAGACAAAATAAAAACAGCCTGATTTCATGAGAATGTAGCACATTACTGAGAATCAATGTTCATAAACTATTCATACCGTGGAGAAAAAAACCAAAGGTTCAATAATGTGAAAGACTGATAGGAATTACTAGTCAATATAATCTTTATCACTCTCTTTGTTGTTGATCTGTTCTTGTTGAAAAACTTGAATTACTTACCGGTACGTTATGTGTTATAAAATAAGGCTCTTTCTATGGATGTGATAATCAATAAGATGCCACCAAAGTACATGTAATGCTGATATATAGTCATGTTCCTGAAGCAACGACACCAAGTTTTTACAACAACTAGCCATTGCTAGATTAGTCTAAAATTCACAAACTTTGAGGAATGTTATCTCCCTTTACCACAAACATGTGAACAATAACGTTGTCCAATCAGAGGTTGTAATAGAAACACATAAAGAAATATATACATTTACAGCCGTTGAAGGTTTTCTGTTAGTTGAAAAAACAAATAAAAGCAACCTTACTAGCATAATGGAAGAAAAGAAAAGTAGATTAAAAAGGTTTGGACTAAGATTTGAAGTGTTTCATAGCATAATACCATAGTGGAACAGCTGAAGCTGAAGTGGTAAAGTTCCAGCAACCTTGACATTGAACCTTGAACTTTGAAACTCGGTTATTACAGGTAGATATTTCCGTTAGAAAGACCGAGACCAGGTATTCACGATATTTTCAGGGTCCTAAGACAATTGAAATTATTGATGAAAAATGTGAGGATTATGTGAAGGCCTTGATAAGCTGTATTAGTGAGCTCAAGACTTCTAATTACGATGACATACATTGTAGTAGGCCTACAGCCACAAGAAACAATTAGAAAACAAGAAGGCTGAGATTGAAAACCAAGATTACCAACAGGGATAAAATATCAAAATGGTTTGATTATAATTTAACAGGGCTGTAAGATGTTTAAAAGATATCTTCAACAAGTATGTACCCTTACAATGGTGGAGGTGTCAAATTGGCTGAGAAAGTTTTCTGGCCTGGTTCCCCGTGTCAGATGTGCTGATGGTCCTGTGTACACTTGGTGTTGGTGTGCACGTAAAAGAACCTATGACAGTTGGAATTTGAAATAAGATGGAAATGCAACTGTTTGGCAAACTTCCTCTCATAGCTCACTGTATAGTATATGCCCATCTTCCTTAGCTCTGTTGGTACAGAGTCTAGAAATAACTGTGTTGGGAGGAAGGACAGTATATATTGCTTTTGGAATATCAAGTCCACAGTTATGCCCTTCTGTTAATAAATTAAGTTAGAAACTTTCTGAAATTTTCATGGAATGTTTGCTTTAATGACTATATTGATTGATTTTAAAGACAGGTTGCCAGGCAACAAAACATATGCCCACAGCAACCAAATCGTCCAGGAAGTAGATAAGGGTTGTCTCATATTTATTCTTTTGTGGGTAACGGAAGCATCTATAATACATGTACACAGCTGATATCAATATAATACAAATCATACAACAAAGTGAAACAAGGGTCATAACTCCAGACGTTATCAATGGAAATTGTTGAAATTCCATTTGTCTTCTTCATTTTACTAATTTAAATCATTCATATAAATTTAATACAGATCAGATAACTATTTTCTTATGTATTTTTCTCCTGACACGTTGTTGAGGATTTACGCTATTTTTGTCATTTTTGTGCTATTTTTAACACTACACATACAGTTAGTTGAAGTTGACAACCAGCACTTTGGTTCTTATTGCTTTTATTCTGAAGATCGAATTAATCTCACTAAAACGGCTTTGTTCTAAAAAATACAATGGTGCTCAATGACGCATGGAAAATACAAGGGTGCTCAAAATTATGAATAACAGACCTTTTCTCATCAAGAGATTTTCACCATTAACTTTCATTGTTCTGCTATGAGACACAACACAACACTCAATATTAATTATAGTATCCTCTCTTCTATACTGACAGACATGATTATTCTCTCTTGAAAATCTAACCATCTAGAGCACAAGTTATCTAACAAGTTATCTAATTTTAAAAATTATAGACCATTATCAAACCTCAGCTTTATATGAATGTAGCACTGTGTAGCTCTGATACTCTTATATCTGTCTACTGTCCACAATGGAATAATAGGTCAAGCTAGTAAACTACCTTGTTAGTTGAAGATTAGATAAGTAGTAGTTATTAGTGCAATTTCCTCGGTGTATCGGTGAATATCAGGACAGTTTTGGTCGAGGGGCCCAGCCGAGGCGGCTCTCGACCAAAACTGTCCTGATATTCACCGATACACCGAGGAAAGGTGTTAATAAGTTACTTACGTCACATTTCTATCGAGTATTGTGAAGCAAAATGTGAAAAATAGTATTTATTATCGAGTCGTTTCAACCGAAAAGTGACAAATACTTTCTGCTCTTTCATTATTTATCCCTTTCTGAGCCTCACGTTACATTTCATGGTAGAATGATTTTGTTGTGGAGAGACGACCTGAGTAGTATTTACACGTGCGTCTTGCTATGATACTCTGAGCGTAAAACAATCACGTGTTTGTTTAGACCACATCGTCAAAACAACTTGTCTATGGCGTAGAGGAGAGAGAGGGAGAAATGGGGTTTAACGTCCACTCGACACAAACTAGGTCATTTTGGGACCAACACATGGTTTAATTTTATTTCCATAATTCGCTTGCGCGTAGGGGTCTTTAGCAGTGGGAGGAAACCGGAGGGCCCGGAGAAAACCCACGAGGTTGGACAGGTGACCCTACTCCTTGTCACGCCAGTCGACTCAATGACAGACTTTATGATACAGCGCGCACGTGCTAACCATTCAGCCATCCAACCCCCCTCTATGGCGTAGAGGACTGCAATATTATTAAATGTAGTGTAAAGGAAATGTGAAACGTGGGTCATTCCTGGTGAAAGTATGCATCAGCGGATGGTTCTTCCGTTGAAATTTATTTGTAATAAAGTTTATGACTTTTTTTTCATCCTGCTTATTTTCAATGCCTGTGAAGTGTCCAGCAAGAGAACTGCGCCTTCTATCATCACAATTAATTAAAATAATTATTCAATATTCTAATTTATATATTTTGCATATTAATATAAATCAAACCAAATTATGAAATAGATGCCAATTGATATGTATAATAATTGATTTTTGTAATATGTTGTTATGTTAATTTAATGTCATTGTATATGTTTTTGAACTGCCATGTAGTTCCCCCCATTTTGTTTTGTTACTATGATTTTGACTAGTTGTTTTATGTACATTATCCTTGTGCATTGTATAGAGCCATTGTTATCAATTGCGATCTG